TTATTAGTGTGTCCTTTGTTTAATCTTTTCATAAGTTAAGGTGTGAGAAAAATAATCTTTTTGAAATGTATTGTGGAATATTTGATGATTAAAACATTTAATCTTTTTTTGAAAATGGCAGGAAATTTGAATATTTGAGAAATGAAAAGCTAAGCTAACAACTTTTTTTTTCAAAAAAAATGTTTTTTTTCCAAAAATCTCTAAAATAACTTTTAAAGTCATGGCAAATAGTAAATGAATGATAAAAACATATTTTCAAACATTACACGGGGACTTTAAGGCACTTAACGCTTCCATGTATTTCTTGACGTCCTAAAAGCTCCTCCATTAATTCAATGTGCCTCAAAGTGTTACAATAAGAATTCCTTAATGTCTTGATTCTTGAGAAGGTTCTTCCAAAAATGCATACATGGTGTAATCCATGAGAGGACAACAACATTAAGCTTAAGAAGCATTTATATTTCATGCTGACATTATAACTACTGATTAACTAGCATTATGTATATCAAGATGAACATCATTCTCTTTTAACATGACATAAATTGGAAGTTATAGGTTTTCACACTCATGATTAATTTAGCAGTCACGACTATCTCTTCAAATTGAATAACAACTCTAGAAAAATGAGCCATGAAGTAAACCGTATAAGTGACATTCCAGGCACCTCCATTTAATGGCTGAGTGTAGGATCTCATTTCTCATCAAAAAGTTGTTAAGTGATCTTTTTCAGGAGAATTTGAGATCAAAGAGAAAGATATGAGTCCGTAAGCAGCAAGGGTTTTCTTTCATCTCACATAAAAAAAAACATGATGACTATTTAGACATCTCGGGTGATACTTATCAGAAAACAATAGCACAGAGTTTGCCAGTGACTGGTTGTAAGTATCCCAATGAACAAAATTTGATAGAGATATAATGAAGCCCTCACTCTCCGTCAATCCATCTTTTTTTCCGGAATGTAACTCGAATACTAGTGAACAGATCTTTGGGAAATAGTTTAAGGCAAAACATTTTTTCAAGATGGCTGTCTGACTATAAAGGATAGAAATTTTTCGCATTTGTGACCAAAATAATAAATATTTCTGTTTGAAATTTTGGAAAGGGATTTTTGAGCAAAAATTGTTTCATTTTCAGATTTTGTGCCTTGTAACATTCAAAATGACTGCCTGATGTGGAATTTTCCTTAAAATGTCCAGCAAATGTAAAGCAACAGTCATTACAGTTTGAATGGTATTACTTTTGAATAAAGTATTACTGCAAAATGTCACTTTTATATAAAGGCTGCATTTTTGAACTTCCCACGGGCGAGTACACTGCATAATATATAATAAGTATTCTCCCAAGATATCATGAAAAAGAACAATAAGCCCATATGTTACAAATTACATATTACATGTTTTCAACAAAGTAATTCATCCAAGCACGCTTAAACCGCAAATTACACTGTGGCAACTATGTTGGCTGCTGAACAATTATTCAGCATTTCGGTTCTGTTCTGGAACAAGAAAATCTTACCTTTACACAGCTTTCAGCCCTCAAATCGCCATAAAACGGCATTTTTTCTTTTCATGGAAAAAAGTCAATTTTTCACTCCTTCTCATTGAAGAGTTTTCAAGAGGTTTTTGCTATCAGATAGACCTAGGCGATCAACTTATTTTACACGTACTAAATATGCTGAGGGTTTATCTTTCTCAAGTAGTATGATCTGCGACTTTGCACTGATCATGGCTGCAGCCTAGAACTCGAAATGTCAAATGAACTGAAACCCGAGAAACAATGTATTGAAGATGCTTCGAAGGACGGGAAAATCCATGTTTGGAAATATTGCGGTAATCCCGTGATCGGGAGTTAGGTTCCGAACCGTTCCGACTTTTTTATTTGTTCCGTGACCCCTCTAATCTTTTATAATAAGCAAAGTTTGAATCCCAGAAGATAAAACAAAGTCTATTTTAAGTCATTGATCTGAAAGTGTGAACATTTTGCGAAATATTACTACATTGCCATCGCCACCTGTTTATTAGATTTTGATTAATATAAACCTAAGAGCTTAAAAGATGCAGGAAATCTGGGATAATAGACATTTCCGACAAATCATGCCATCTTTTGATCCATCAGAGAAATTGGCAAGATTGATGATGTCATTGGTTGCAGGTAGCAATCTGTCCCTGCAAAAATGTATTGCTAATTTTGAAAAAGTACAACCTATGACATCATCAATCTAAGCCAGTATATTTTAGTATCTCTGACACGATTTATTTGAAATGTCTGTTACTTTATTAGGTGAAGCCATAAAAATTAACTGTGTTTACTGCAGGGTGATACATTGAGAATAACACTTGTTGACTGTGAGTCTTCACCTTGATTAACCTTTATGTGAAAATGTACTAATGAATAGACTAGATGCGAGTAGAAATAATCTTGATTTAAGTCAAAATTCAGTCAAAATGATGTCATATTTGGAATCTACAGGGTGTCCCGAAAGTATGGGGCCCCCCTAGGCAGACATATACCAGTGTCGTCATAGTATGTGTCATATATCATTTTAAAGCTTATCCAAAGTTACATTGATTCGCTAAGTATCATGGTTCAACTCTCAAATGTGAAAAAATTACAGGCATTTCAAAATTTAGTGTTTGGTCAAAATTAAGTTCAATTTTACACCAAAACGCTAGTCAATGTGTCCTCTAGGGGCATCTTAACAGCAGCAATTCTTTTCGGGTCAGATGGATATTGAGTTGGAAAAAGAGAATGGTGAGGGTAGAAACTCTAAGGAAACTCTTCTAAAGTCCCTTAACAGGTTTTAAGAGGGTTATAAAATTCCACACCCCTATTTGAATGACTTCTTAGGTCATATCTGAAAATAATTGCTGCTGTTAGCATGGCCAAGGGGGGACACATTGACTAGTAATGTGGGGTAAAATTGAACTTTATTTTGACAAAACACTAACTTTTAAAATGACTGTAACTTTTTCCCATTTGGGAGTTAAACCATGATACTTGGCAAATCAATGTAACTTTGGATAAGCTTTTAAATGATATTGACACATACTATGGGCTTACTGGAATATGTCTGCCTAGGGGGGGGGGGCATACTTTCGGGACACCCTGTACTGTACATGTAAAATTACATCTAGAAATGTAGTTTTGAAAAGAGTTGATCAACTTTGAAAATTTAATTTTCTTTGAAAATGTGACTTCTAGTTCGTGGAGATTCCCTATAGATTCCATTTTTGCCTCAGTTTGTGACAACAGTGCTGGGAGGGTGAAGATTTATAATTCTATAGGCCTAAAATAAATCATGGAAACTTAATTCTGGAGATTATTACAGGCTGTAATATCATATTTATTATCAAAGCGTTGTTTTCCTAATAAACTTCATGATATTTATCATATCTCTTTTGACTCTTCTTTATTGAGTATGGATTTTGAATTATTAGCCGTGGTTTATCAAAATGTCTGCGAGTAAGAGAATTCAATGAACTGTTTTGAAAATAATGTGAATAATGATTGGCAGTAGTTCCTTCTCAGCTTAATTGCTATGAAATTTATTAGAGGCCAAGAATTTATTTCTAAATACTTAAATCTTTAAAGTCTCCAATAAATCGGAATACGTATACTGCCGTGTTTACATAAGGGGATTAGAAGAGTTTATTTTTATTTAGGTATGCAAGCAATATCAAAATTAGGCCTTCATACATGTACTCGTGTGTACAATCAGCATGCCCTTCAATATTATATAAACCAGGCTATTCAAGTACTACATATTATGTATACTATTTATGTGTGTACTACATGGGAATACGATTCCCTGGAAAACAAAACACAAATACTTTTTATATGTTCAAAATGAGCCATTTGATTGATGATGCATACACTTAATAGCTCATTAATAACATCTACAAAGTATATCTAATAGTAATTTTCAATTTCAATGGTGAAACTTGCCTGTTTACGATTATACGGGTAATCAACATGGGACGAAGATTGTTCACCTTCCTGACTTACCTCTGAAGCCTGTACCTTGTAATCTCTTTGTATAGGTTAGCGAGAGCGCTGCGCCTGTGCAGTTTTAAACTTTGGCGCAAACTTTAAGACGTATTTAAGTTATATCTTCTAGATATTGTGCTTTTACATATCATTTCCTGTATGTTACTTTGTCCTTTAAGTTGATTGCACTTCTGAGTCTCTTAATTCAATTGAAAATGGTAAATTAACCCTTTTCTTCTCATTTATCAATATTATAATAATTAATTGAATTAAGAAGCATTTACAAAATGACCTTAGAGAATTATAACGAGTATCTGTAATCTACAGAGCCATGGTGTTATATTTTTAGTGTGAAACGATTTCATTTGGGAAATCAGTGTAATAAGTTCAGTGTCTGAGATTTTATGACAGACCAATGGTAAATGTCATTTGACTTTAGATGACAGAAAATTATGTCATAGAAGTCTTAAAATAATGCTGAATAAGTTCACTAACACTTTATTGATGCTGTATTATGTCAGCTATCAATTTTACGGTTAGTTGATTAATAGTCAATTCGTGTTTATCACTTACTTTGTCTCATTTAACTTGATTACATTTTTCGTCAAATATATTCAGGAAAACTCAGCTTATCGGATTTACTTCAAAGTCAGATACTATCAAGCACTATCAAGTTCTAGGGTTGATTTATAGTCACTGCATTCAAGCAACATAAACCTGAAATTAAATCAGAAATGATAGATGGGATTCTGAGTCAATGTACATTCATATGATTGATTATTAAGTGGATTTCCAAAATGTGTTTGTAGTTATCACCTTATATAAAGTTCTTCTGGGTCGCATTGTTCATATTATTATCAAATTTTTACATGTATGTCTTCAACCTAATTGCACTCACCATCGACCAGTTCCTGCATGCCTCCTGGCGTCCTGGAGATAAACCATTCAGAAGAGCCTGAGGAAGACAACGTTGTATCTTGTAAATAATTTTTGCAGTTTGATTTTATTTTCAGAGATATTACAAAAGTTCACCTGAAAGTAGCAAGTCTCCTGGTGACCATACCCATTGTAACAGATTCCACACACCAGAATATACAGCACTTCAACAGAGAAACCCTGTAAGTGTAAACTGATAAAAAAGGTGCCATTTCGGTGATTCTGGGATTTGAAATAGTTTCTACACATTTTGTTTGATCAAAGCTCTACTTATAGTCAATTCACTGTGCAATTTCTGCAGATGTATGTTTTATTTGATTTTGAGGGAGCCCATCATGGGAGATTTTTAGATATGAAAAATAAAGAAAGCATTTTATAATAAAATGGCAGCCATTTTGAATTGAGCGACCATATTGAAAATTCTTTCCTTTCGGCCATCCCCCCCTTAAGGTGCCATGGAAGTTAACAGGAAATGACGAAACAGGAAGTGACAATTTTTTTTGCATTTTTAGACATTTTTTGAGCAAAGATAACAGAGTTCTGGTTTGACCTCCAGTCAATTTAACTATTTCCACATATCATTTACATGACCAGGATCACAATGTGCATGGTCAGAATGACCCTAAACATGATGAAATAACCTTTTTAGCCCTTTGAAAGTGTGACTGAAAAAAAGCTAAAGTAGGAAGGCAGGGAAGGTCACTGAACAGAATCTTTTGACTTTTCCAGAAAATGTGCCCAATATAACGCTCTAACTGATACAATGTTTGAAATTTTAAAAAATTGTCTGAAACAAAAATGGCGGTCATAAAAAGGAAAATAGATTGCTTTACAAATCAGTTTTTTTCATTTTTTTTCTTTTTCTATGAATGATATCAAATTTTCAAAGATTGTGTCATTTAGAGCAATATATTGGGCACCTTTTCTGAAAAATTCGAATTATTCTGTTCAGTGACCTTTCCTACCCCCGTCTTTTAGCTATTTCTCAGTCACATTTTCAGAGGGCTGAAAAGGTTATTTCTTCACATTTAGGGTCATTCTGGCCATGAACATTGTGATCCTGGACTTGTAAATGGTATTTGGAACTAGTTGAATTGACTGGAGGTCAAAACAGAACTCTGTTATCTTTGTTCAAAAAATGTTTAAAAATGCAAAAAAATTTGTCACTTCCTGTTTTGTCATTTCCTGTTAACTTCCATAGCACCTTAAACTAATCTAACAGGATTCATTTTTGCATGGTACACATGGTGTCATTTTACCAGACCCTAAGCCTCACATGAATAAAAATTACCATAATAAGATGTAAGAATTACGTTAACATTTATCTTAGAAATGTCTTTGACAAATGAATAATTCAATAAAACATGAATCCTGCTAGACAAATGAACCTTTACTCTCATAAAAAATATATATTACACATCAGAAATGGTGGATACGATAAATTAATAAAGAAATTGGTTAAGTTACAAAATTTGTATTTTAATTGAACATGTAATGTATTTTTTTATCGTACCTAAAAAGGTACGATATTGTCGCCAGCTTGACGGGTGGGCAGCGTCTCACTTTCTTGTCATCATGAAATCCAGGAAATCCACTTGACAGATTTACTTCAAATTTTCACACATGTTACATGGTAAGAAGTTCTAGAGCTGATTAACCTTTCCGTGTCCATCTTGCATTCTGCTGGCCATCTTGGAAGTTTTAGATAAATCTTGTCATCCGATTCCAGGAAATCCACTTGACGGATTTACTTTAAAATTTTACACATGTTACATGGTAAGGAGTTCAAGAACTTGCTTTCTGGGTCATCAAGCCCACGCTGCAATGTTTTAGGTACGATATTGTTCACCCTGTGCCTTGTTATTGTCATAGAAAACGCAGTCAACACACCATCCCTTTCTATGAATTGAACATTTTTTATTGCACATGAAAGTGGTTATTTTGCTCATGGGTGGGCATGTAAGCATCACAAGAATCAGCAGTACTGCCAGTAGTCTACAGAATCTGATTTGGTTTTAAGCTTGGTAATTTACAAGTATCATGGCATTTAGACTTTTAAGTTTCATATTTATCACAGTATCTTATTTCACTTTCAAAGTAAAACTTGTCTCTTGTTCCTGGCGGTTGCCTTGAGAGCTGCTGTTAAATAATAGAAAGATATAATTATATATCTTGGGGAGGACTTTGATCTTGTTTGCTTGAATAAGTCTGTAAGAAGACAATAGTAGAAATCATAGGGACTAATAAGAGCTCTAATTATAAGTCCAGGATCTGTGATAAATAGGATGTATAACAAATTACTTTCCTTTTCGGTTCAATTATAATAATTATCACCTGTCGGGAGAAATATTGCTTTCTGTCTCTATTTGGAGTTAATTATTTACGGGATTAGAGGTCTTACGTAGTCTGCCTCTAGATGAATGGAATCCCCTGATTATTGTATTATGTCTATGATATCAGCCATCGAGAGTTCTGATAGCCTATTATAAAGATCATCAGACAATATTTAAGACAACCAAATCTATTTTTATTCATTCATTCACTATTTTGATTCTCTTCAGAAAAATGAAAAACTTAGTTAAGTGGGATTCATGAATGTCAATAAAAAAAACTTTACGCTGAGTTCATTAGACAACTGATGCATAACATAACTTTGATTAATCTTAATTTTTGATTCATTATTCATTATTGCAACTCAACTCCTTGGCTGACTTCAGGAAACTAGAGAAAAGTGCAATTATAATAGATAGATTTTGCACTAATCTAATAAGTCCAGTCTGACCTAGGAATGATGAGTCCTCTCTTTCCCTGGATTCAGGTCTAATTTACATCATAGGCAATGGAGACGGAAACAGCTGGTTTATCCACCAAATCAGATTCGAGGAGGGATATAGAGACGCTGCCAGTCCATTCGTTGGTCTGTTTGTCCATCCATCCATTCGTTCATTCATCTGTTCTTTGAAAAATACAAGTTGACTTATTTGGATGAAATTTTATTGGCTGGTGCTATTGGCATAGAACCTGTGTTTAAAAAATGAAATTCCAATATGGCCTCTCAATTCAAAATGGTAGCCATTCATTGAAAAAATAGTTGATATCCAAAAACCAGTTGATGAATTTGGTTCAAATTTGAAATGCTATAGCAGGGTTCGTACACACCTGGAAATGTCAGGGAAATTGATTTATTTTTCCAGGTGCTGGAAATGTCAGGGAATTTTAAAATTGGGTCAAAAAGGGCCAAAAATGTCAGGGAATTTTGAAACAGTAGATGTGTCAGGGAAATGTCAGGGAATTTTGTATCAATGTTGAAAGAATAATGTTCCAGCAAAATACATTTTAGGGCTATGACAGGATATGAGTGAAATCCAAAATCATCTAGTTGTTTCCACAAATTGCAAATCTTTTCATTAGGGTTGGTTGAATGACATTAGATCTGGTATTGTCTATTTGTAAGAACAGTGTGAACATTACACTGAAACCGAACAATAAAAATAATGTATAGATGATTTAATACAATTATGCTTTTTTATGTAGTAAGCTTAGTCTTAAGCCATTCAAGTTAATTACTGGTATATATTTCATGGTTTGATGAGGGTTAATCTGAGGGGGGGGGGGCGTGAGGTGAAAAACAAAAAAATTCTGGGAGCTCTTTACAATGTAAAATTGTATTTATATTAAGAAGCTGTCTGTTTGACAGTCCGATCGTACGTCAGTCTTTTCAACTTTTCGGGGCTTTGCCAATTTTGAAAACCTTAGCACATGGAAGTAGGCAACCAAAATGTGTGTGGGGTACTATTAACAGTTTTTGAATTTGGTCCAAATTTTTCTTCTTGTAAAGATAAACCCAGCATTTTACTTTGGCTCAAATTTTGTATGATGTAGCCTTAGGGACAAAGGACCTGCTCAAGAAGAAATATTCAAGATGGTCTCTGAATTCAAAATTGCCACCATTTTTTATGAAATTTTTGATAATTTAAAGAAATTTGATTCCTGATAACACAAAATACTGATTATTTGATTTGGTATCATAGGCCTGAGCCTTTTCGTGATCTGGTGATGCTTCTTGAGAAGGAATTTCTAATATGGTGTCAATTGTTTTGGTGTAATTTTCCCAAAAGGGAGAAGACAATAGTAATGCCAGGTTATTGCTATCATATAATGTTCACAATGATAGTATTCAATAGAAATATGTTTCATTAGGTGGGAATTGCCCCTCAAGTGAGTTGTTATTTTTCTAGTAGGATTTAGATCAAAAATTTCAGTTGTCATTTGGATTCATTACAAAACATTAACAAATTATAGTTTGAAATGCTTAGAATGCACCATATACAATTGTCAATTTTGAAAAATTTCCGGGGGTGAACCCCCGTACCCCCCCTTCTGGTTTTCCTTCGCTCGCAGTGATGCAAACCCCAAAAGATGCACCTCCTTGATACTTGTTGGCTATGCCCCTGTACATGTATGTTTACCTTTGGCCTTATGCAATGTAAAATATGTAATATTAAAAATAAAATGTATCAGGAATAAATTGGTGAATAAGACTGCCTGTACAAGTAGTTAAGCCATGAGAAATGGTACTGAAGGAGAAACCCCAAATGTTTCATAATAAGTCTTTTTGTCTTGAATAATACAGTTGTTTGAGACTTTTTAGAGGGCGCGCGAGGAAAATTAGATCTGGAAATTTCCTTTTTTGCCTGGAGGGAAATTCATTTTGAAAAAGGTGTACGAACCCTGTATAGCTTTGAAAATACAGAATCTCCACTCACTAAGCATTATCAAAACATATCTCCCTGCAGTTGACCGTTTTTCTGCTTTGAGGTAAATGGTAACTGTTTAAGGCCATTATCTGTGTTATTGCCTGACTTACTATGAACCCCCCCCCCCTGTTCAACATGATATCATATAATGGTATTTATCTTTTTCGTGTGAACACAACATCTCATTACAAGATTGTGTTTTTGCAGTTACAAAATAGCGAAGATGTTAACGTCATTGTCCATCCTGGGACGTATGCTGTCACAGCAGGATCTTGGGGCACACCACGACAGCAGACACACGTTGTGAGGGTCGACCAAGGAGAAAGCGTCAACCTGGATTTTATGTTGTGATCATCCCTCTGTTTAGAGACTATTCTACTAATCTTTGATACAGCTGTAGGCTACCAATTAGCCCGACTGCCAGTGCTTACTAATAAGACAAAGCTCTCCTAAGACTATTGGCAAAGCTAATATAAGCTACCAATCAAAGATGGTATGAAAATAGGACTGTGATAGAATTTATATTTTAATGACTACTTGTAATATATTATATGTAATAAAATCATGATTTGAAAATAAAAAATGATGTCAGAAAATCTCTGTACAATATGTTTATTTAAAAAATACATACATATCTCAAATAATGTGAATATATCTGAGGTAGTTCATACACGTCGCATGATTGTGCCACATGGAATAAAGATGAGAGATTAAAAACTATTTGCAACTGATGAACGAATAAAAATATACTGTATAGTAATTTTATGAGTCTTTAATTTACCAGCAGGGCCAGAATGGCCTTGTTGCAAATAACACTAGACACCTGATATGAATAAATGCATAAGATAGTGAATTCAGTATTCTTAAAATGTGGCTGGATGTTGACATAGGTAAGGTTGATGAACAGAATTTTTCAATTATGGAAGATACATGTATGTATAATATGGCAAGAAGCTTTAGTATGTTGAACTGTTTCCTAAAATCAATATTTATGTCAGTCATTGCACCCACTTTCTGATCTACCATGGGCTTTTAATTGAAAACCCATGGATCTACCCTTTGCATTCGTTCGACATCACAGCTAGTTAATAACTAGACTCCGCGCACAGGGTTTTTCTGATCAAAATATGAACTGAAAATCATGTAATATGTTATTCAAGAAAATGTGAAGTGAAAATTGAGTTTTGTTGTGTCATCATGAACAAGGCCTATTCACTTTTTGGCTCTCTCCACATGGCATGAAAAATGATGGATGTGTACATATATTTTGCACTGTATCGACTTGACACTGAATTGACTTTGGAATTTGTTACAATATTGATCTCTTGACCCAGGCTTCACTTAGGACAAATGGACCTAGATTTCCAACTACCCCCTTTGTCAACTTTCGGGTCCACACATTTGTGTGATTAGCAGGCACCATAAGAAATTAATTTAAATTTTACATACCAAGATCATGTTTCACATACGCCAATAATTGGACTACATTAATCTCTGACATTCAAGTCATGTTTCATGCCTAATGATGCTAAAGTGAAAAATTCTTTACAAGATAACTGTTTACCAACTAGTTGATTTTTTATTCTTTTTTTAAATTTTTGTTTATTCATTTATTTATGACATTAATACCAGATAAATATAGAAAAGTTCTAATTATGTACAGATTGTGTAATAATAAACTTCCAGTTGAAAGAGGACGTTATAAAAATATTCCTAGGGAAAATAGGTTTTTATGTCACCACCAAGAGTGGTGACATATTGTTATGGTCTCCGTTTTTTTTGCGACGGCGGTTGGTGGTTGGTGGTTGGAGGTTGGCGTCCGGCGTCTGTAACAATTTCTTACAACTTCCTATAACTTAACAAATACTGTTTAGACTGACTTCAATTTTTTTCTAAATCATCTACATGTTCTAAGAATTTCAAATCTGACTTTAGATTTGACATTTGACCTTCAATGACCTTCTCAAGGTCAAAAAGGTCTTTTTTTAACTTGCTTCACATTGACTAAATTTTTTTTCAAAATCATCTACATGTTCTCAGAAATTCAAATCTGACTTTAGATTTGACTTTAGATTTGACATTTGACCTTCAAATCTGACTTTAGATTTGACATTTGACCTTCAATGACCTTCTCAAGGTCAAAAAAGGTCAAAAAGGTCTGTTTTCAACTTGCTTCAAATTGACTAAAATTTTTTTCAAAATCATCTACATGTTCTCAGAAATTCAAATCTGACTTAAGATTTGACATTTGACCTTCTCAAGGTCAAAAAAGGTCAAAAAGGTCTGTTTTCAACTTGCTTCAAATTGACTAAAAAAATTTTCCAAAATCATCTACGTGTTCTCAGAAATTATAATCTGACTTTAGATTTGACTTAAGATTTGACATTTGACCTTCAATGACCTTCTCAAAGTCAAAAAAGGTCAAAAAGGTCTTTTTTCAACTTGCTTCAAATTGACTAAATTTTTTTTTAAAAATCATCTACATGTTCTCAGAAATTCAAATCTGACTTTAGATTTGACATTTGACCTTCAATGACCTTCTCAATGTCAAAAAAGGTCAAAAAGGTATTTTTTCATCTTGCTTCAAATTGACTAAATTTTTTTTTCAAAATCATCTACATGTTCTCAAAAATTCAAATATGACTTTAGATTTGACATTTGACCTTCAATGACCTTCTCAAGGTCAAAAAAGGTCAAAAAGGTCTTTTTCAACTTGCTTCAAATTGACTAATTTTTTTTTCAAAATCATCTACATGTTCTCAGAAATTCAAATCTGACTTTAGATTTGACATTTGACCTTTAATGACCTTCTCAAGGTCAAAAAAGGTCAAAAAGGTCTGTTTTCAACTTGCTTCAAATTGACCAATTTTTTTTTTCAAAATCATCTTCATCTTTTCAGAAGTTCAAATTTGACTTTACAAGTTCACAGAAGTTCAAATCTGACTTTAGATTTGACCTTCAATGACCTTCTCAAGGTCATAAGGTATTTTCCAACTTGCTTTAAATTGACCAAATTGTTTTAGGTGGTGACATTTTGTCATGTTAATGCCTTGTGTGATTTATGTGGTATAGGAATAGGTGATGAATTTCATGTCATTTTAGAATGCAAAGCTTTAAGTTATATTAGAAAAAGATACCTTCCTAAATGTTATACCACAAGACCAAACACACAGAAGTTTGAGAAATTAATGAATTCAAACAAAAATGTACTCATAAAACTTTGTAAATTTTTAATCGAGGCTGGGCAAAAAAATGTTCTTACATGTATAGAAATGTTATTTTAATGTTTGTTACTGTATTAGTTAAGTTTGTCTTTTGTACTCTTATACCCTATAAGGGGTGAATTGAGAAATCAATAAATAAATAAATAAATTGAATAATATACAAGTATGGTACTTCTGACTAGCGCCAGTGGCATTGTATACTAGCATTATTATTATTATGTCACCACCAAAAGTGGTGACATATTGTTATGGTCTCCGTTTTTTGCGACGGCGGTTGGTGGTTGGCGTCCGGCGGTTGGTGGTTGGCGTCCGGCGGTTGGCGTCCGGCGTCTGTAACAATTTCTTACAACTTCCTATAACTTAACAAATACTGTTTAGACTGACTTCAATTTTTTTCTAAATCATCTACATGTTCTCAGAAGTTCAAATCTGACTTTAGATTTGACATTTGACCTTCAATGACCTTCTCAAGGTCAGAAAGGTCTTTTTTCAACTTGCTTCACATTGACTAAATTTTTTTTCAAAATCATCTACATGTTCTCAGAAATTCAAATCTGACTTTAGATTTGACATTTGACCTTCAAATCTGACTTTAGATTTGACATTTGACCTTCAATGACCTTCTCAAGGTCAAAAAAGGTCAAACAGGTCTGTTTTCAACTTGCTTCAAATTGACTAAATTTTTTTTTTCAAAATCATCTACGTGTTCTCAGAAATTCAAATCTGACTTTAGATTTGACATTTGACCTTCTCAAGGTCAAAAAAGGTCAAAAAGGTCTGTTTTCAACTTGCTTCAAATTGACTAAAAAAAATTTTCAAAATCATCTACGTGTTCTCAGAAATTCAAATCTGACTTTAGATTTGACTTAAGATTTGACATTTGACCTTCAATGACCTTCTCAAAGTCAAAAAAGGTCAAAAAGGTCTTTTTTCAACTTGCTTCAAATTGTCTAAATTTTTTTTTCAAAATCATCTACATGTTCTCAGAAATTCAAATCTGACTTTAGATTTGACATTTGACCTTCAATGACCTTCTCAAGGTCAAAAAAGGTCAAAAAGGTCTGTTTTCAACTTGCTTCAAATTGACTAAATTTTTTTTTCAAAATCATCTAGTGTTCTCAGAAATTCAAATCTGACTTAAGATTTGACTTAAGATTTGACTTAAGATTTGACATTTGACCTTCAATGACCTTCTCAAGGTCAAAAAAAGGTCAAAAAGGTCTGTTTTCAACTTGCTTCAAATTGACTAAAAAAAAATTTCAAAATCATCTACGTGTTCTCAGAAATTCAAATCTGACTTTAGATTTGACTTAAGATTTGACATTTGACCTTCAATGACCTTCTCAAAGTCAAAAAGGTCTTTTTTCAACTTGCTTCAAATTGACTAAATTCTTTTTTCAAAATCATCTACATGTTCTCAACATTTGACCTTCAATGACCTTCTCAATGTCAAAAAAGGTCAAAAAGGTATTTTTTCATCTTGCTTCAAATTGACTAAATTTTTTTTCAAAATCATCTACATGTTCTCAGAAATTCAAATATGACTTTAGATTTGACATTTGACCTTCAATGACCTTCTCAAGGTCAAAAAAGGTCAAAAAGGTATTTTTTCAACTTGCTTCAAATTGACTAAAAAAAAATTTCAAAATCATCTACGTGTTCTCAGAAATCCAAATCTGACTTTAGATTTGACTTAAGATTTGACATTTGACCTTCAATGACCTTCTCAAAGTCAAAAAAGATCAAAAAGGTCTTTTTTCAACTTGCTTCAAATTGACTAAATTTTTTTTTCAAAATCATCTACATGTTCTCAGAAATTCAAATCTGACTTTAGATTTGACATTTGACCTTCAATGACCTTCTCAATGTCAAAAAAGGTCAAAAAGGTCTTTTTTCAACTTGCTTCAAATTGACTAATTTTTTTTTTTTTTCAAAATCATCTTCATGTTCTCAGAAATTCAAATCTGACTTTAGATTTGACATTTGACCTTTAGTGACCTTCTCAAGGTCAAAAAAGGTCAAAAAGGTCTGTTTTCAACTTGCTTCAAATTGACCTAATTTTTTTTCAAAATCATCTACATCTTTTCAGAAGTTCAAATTTGACTTTACAAGTTCTCAGAAATTCAAATCTGACTTAAGTTTGAACTCATAATATTGTGAGCAACTAGGTGGTGACATTTTGTCATGTTAATGCCTTGTTGGAAAAATTACATTATTGAATACTTGAAATGTCTTGATAGATTTTGTAAAAAATAATAGCATGTGCCACATTATTTCTCAAAGGAGGACTAGTTATTTATTCAATAATGTTACAATGAATACAAACATTTTGAATGAACAGTGTATACTATATTTTTAATGGTCCTTTTTCCATATAGCTTGGAAATCTCATCAAAGCCTCGTTTTTAATGAGATTTTAGGAGATCTGCATTTTTAACAATTAAGGACTAACATTTTCTTCTATTTGATTGCATATTTGAATTCTGTGTGTAATTTTCTATCAAAACAACTTTGATTTGCACCATTATTTACCTTCATTCAAATTTTAATGATTTTCTAGTTGTCTAAAAAAGATTGGGCTAAATCCCCAATGACACAATGCTGAAAAACCTTTAAAAGTTCATTTACTCTAACAAGGATCAAAATTCTAATGTGAAATCACAATACAATCCACATGTCAATAAGATCATATACAGGGTGTCCCAGAAGTAATGATAATTATGCTCTAAACGTTTTATTTGATATGGAAACAATATGAAATTCACACAAATTAAAGATCAAGATGTTAGCTTCATTTTACTATATTACATTTATTACTTTACACAAATATATTTAATGTATAGTTGCCATAGCAACATGTACGCGCGTTCTGCGGAGCAGCTGTGTGTTTTCATACATTTTTGAAAAACATTTCATGTTCATATGTTTCCCTGCTGTTCAC